CCCTTTGTGGGGGGGCGGGGAGTGTGTGGTGGGATCCCGGGGGAGCGAGACGCATGCGCAGGTGGACCGAGCCCTAATTCCGGCCCAGTCCCTTCTCGCACCGGCTCCGTTTCCTGGATGAGACCCCCCCACGCCCCCTCGCGTCCCAGTCGCCTCTCCTCCGCGCCTCGCTTGTCCCTTGTCGTTAGCTCCACAGCAGTTGCCGTACTTGGGTCCCAGACGCCCCCCGCCCTCGTAGAGCCCTCGGCCCGCGGGAAGGACCCGGGGCAACAATTAGATGTTAAGCAAGTTGTCAGTGGGCGAGTGGGGTGGAGACCTTTCACAAAGGGCCTGGAACAGAAGACGCTGGTGTGGTGGCTTCAGGGAGCCATTTCCCGCGGAGGTGGCGTCTGAGCTGACAGCGCCTGGGAACGACCTACACCCGTGCCTTAGGCGTCTGGCACGAAGAAGCCAGAGATGCTACCAGATTCCTGTTACGTAGGACAGAACCCCCCCCCCCCCACACACACACACCCGGAATTAGCTGGAGCTAACTGAGGTCAGTGGTGTCGAAGTTGAGGAACCTGGTGGTCAGAGGCTTGGGATGCATCGAAAATTAAGTGTATCTAAGTTTGTCTAACAGTATTAAAACGTTTGGCTTTAGCAAGTCAGGAAAGGTCAGACCATGTCTGGTGTTTTGTTTTGTTTTCTCTTGTTTTGTTGTCGTTGTTGAAATAATCGAGCATTAAATAAGCCCTTTGCCCTGTTGAGGCAGGCACTCTACTACTGAGCCCTCCCTCTCTTTTCTTTCTGTTTGTGGTCTTGCTATGTAGTCTGGGCACTTGGGATTTCTGTATATCCCGGGCTGGGCTTTTGTTGTTGTTAATTTTTAAGACAAGGTTTCACTATGTAGTCCTGGCTGACCTAAAACTCACTATGTAGACCAGGGTGGTCTTGAACTCACAGAGATCCTCCTGCCTTTGCCTACCACCATATCAGGCCCAGGCTGTCTTGAGTTCATGTTACTTTTGCCTTAGCCTCCATAGTATTGAGATTGCAGGTTTGCACACACACAAGCAGTAGTTTTTCACTGCAAAGAGCCAGGGAAATAGGTGCTCAGTAAATTTGGGTTGGTAAATACAGTATTTGGCCAGGACTCTTTCAACTGCCACTCTTGGCCTTCTTTTTTTTTTTTTTGCATGGAAATTTTTTATGAAACCTTGAGTATGTACAAATTTGCCTGGAAAATTTTTATGAAACCTTGATTGTATAAAAACCAAACATTTGCAGAGAAGTGATAAAGAAACTTACTTTAAAACAATTATTTGGAGCTTGGTATGGTGGCCTATGCTTGTAATCAGGAGACTGAGGCAGGAGAATTACCCAGGTGTTCAATACTAGCCTGGTCTACATATTGAGTTCTAGATCCTAACTCAAAATTCTTTGGTCTGTGTTTAATTTTTACTATTTATTAAAGACAAAAGCTAATATGTATAATAAGGAGGTGGATGTACTTAGGATTCATTATTGCCAGGGATGGTGATCCATGCCTGTATTCTCAGCACTTGGAAGACAGAGGCTTGAGGGTAATCTTTGGCTGCGTAACAAATGCTAGGCCAACTTGGGCTGCATGAGACCCTGTCTCAGAAACCAGAAGAAATCTTGGCTGAGTGTCTGGTACTGCAGGGTACAGACCATCTTTAACATTTTTCAGAGTTGATATTTTGATTTTGTCATCATTAATATTGAGAATACTGCTTCCCAAAAGTACAAAGTGGAAGAAGTGTGTTTAGGGCCATTTAATATTTATTTGTGTGAGTGACAGAGAGACAGACAAACAAGTTTTCTCTCCTTATACTGTGGGATCCAAGTATTGACATAGGTCATCAGACTTGTGGCAAGTCATTTTACCTGCTGAACCATCTCATCAGCGTATCAGACAGCAGTTTTTCAAGTCAGATATTTGAAAACCTATGTGACATGCACACTATGTCAAGCTTCATGTGTCAAGGATGACTTTGAATTAATGGTCTTGCCTCCTCTTCCTTAATGCTGGGATTACAGAACTGTGTTACCTTACTTAGTTTGTGTGTGCTGCAGATCAAACTCATCTTTGTGTATACTAGAGAAGTACTCTACCAGGCGAGGTATATCCCTAACCTTTTTTTTTTTTTTTTTAGATCTCACAGTGGCTCTGGCTAGCCTGGAACTTCCCTGTGTAGACCAGAGTGTCCTCAAATTCATAGAGATCCTTTTGCCTCTGCTTTACAAGTGATCAAAGGTGTTTGCTGCCATGCCTGCCTCCTCGAGGTAGTTTCTTGTTTGTTGAGACAGGGTCTCATGTATCCCAGGTTATTGTGGACAGTTTACCTTAAATTCATGGTCCCCATCGCCATTTCTCAGGTGCTGGGATTACAGGCATACAACACCCCAAACACAAACTATTTTGATGCTAACAACAACAAAAAGACAGTAGGAAAATATTAAAACTTTTGTTTGTAAGACAATGTTTTTATAAGAGCAGAAAACTTTGAATGCACAGTAAAAACAGTAGTTGAGCTGGGCCAAGGTGACACACACCTTTAATCCCAGCACTCGGAAGGCAGAGGCCGGCCTGGTCTACAGAGTGAGTCCCCGGGGTAGCCAAGGCAGTGACACAGAGAAATGCTGTCTCAAAAAACAAAAAAGCAGTGTAGTAAATGACCTACAGTGGTTTCAAAGCTGAGCCAAGGTGTTTGAGGCAGTGTGTTTGGTGTTGCGTAGCTTGAGGGTATGCATAGTGTAAAGTGTTCATGTTGCATTGCAATTAAGTCAAGCAAATCAGAACAGGTGAGCATTGCTGGAGACAACTTGGATTTGTTAATGTGTTTGATTTTGAATTGACACTTGGCTGTTGTATATTCAGAAACCTTTTACTGTTCATAGATTTTTCAAAATGTCCAAATTGTATCACCTATCAACCCATAGTTTAAGAAGTTGTGTGCTGAAGCTGGCTAGTGGTGGCACGCACCTTTTATCTCAGCACTCTGGGAGACAGAGGCTGGCAGATCTCTGAGCTCAAAGTCAGCCTGGTCTACAAAGTAAGTTCTGAGAGAGCCAGGGCTACACAGAGAAACCCTGTCTTGAAAAACAAAACAAGCAATAATATATGTTGTGCCTTGAGGATGGCTCAGTGGATAAAGGCATTTGCTGCCAAGCCTGAAGACTTGAGTGTACATACAGGTGGATGTCAGTAATCATCAGTTTCCACCTTGTTTGTTGAGGCAGAATCATGAAACCCAGGGCTTCCCAACATAGGTAGTCTTGCTAGCCAGCTCATTCTGGGGATCTAGTGTCTCTGCCTTCTAAAGTTGGGGTTACAAACAGGCTCCCACTACCATTTGGCATTTACGGGGTTCTGTTGTCCTCATGTTTATACGTGAGCATTATAACTACTCAGCTATCTTCCCAGCCTCAAAATCTAAACCTTTATTTTCTTTTCTGTAAAAGGAGAATGATAATAGTAACTGTCTCAGAATTGATATGAGCATTAAATTTGACACATGGTACTTCTATAAAATATTTCTTTAGCACAGGGCTTAATAGATAGGAAGTGCTACCTATATACATTTTAAATTTGCTCCTACCTTCACTCAGTTGTATCTCTTTAGCTGCATAATTGGTTATTTGTGTTGTTTCTTATATACTCATTTATTTTACTTTCATTTTAGAGAGTCTCTATCCTTCAGTGGGTACTAAAAATCTGTTTTAAAAATGTCTTTAAAGAGCCGGGCTTTGGTGGTGCACGCCTTTAATCCCAGCATTCGGGAGGCAGAGGCAGAGGTCTTGTGAATTCAAGACCAGCCTGGTCTACAAGAGCTAGCTCCAGGACAGGCTCCAAAGCCACAGAGAAACCCTGTCTCGAAAAAACAAAAACAAAACAAAAGTCTTTAAAGTTAATTATATTTTATGTGGTGGTATGTGTTATGTGTGCTTATTCATGTGAGTGTGGGCACACTAATGGCATGGCATGTGTGTAGAGGTCAAAGGACAGCCTCAGGTGTCAGTCCTTGTTTTTCAGCTTGTTTGGGACAAGGTCTTTATTGCTTGCTGCTTTTTATACACCAGGCTAACTGACTCATGAACCAATTAGGGATTCTTTTGTCTATGTTTCCCATCTCAGTTGTAGGAACATTGAGATTACATATGAGCTACTGTGCCTGGCTTTACATGGGTTCTGGGATTTGAACTCCGGGATTCATCGGTAGCTGGTACATGCTTTACCACTAAGCTGTCTCCCCAGTGCAATGCAAAACACTTTCCCTTGTTTTGGTTTGGTGTGTTGTTGTGTTTTAGACTTAACTTTATTTATGCATGTGTACATGCACACATGTTCAATTCCTACAGAGATCAGAACAGGATCTTGGATCTTTTGAAGCTAGAGTTACAGGCAGTTGTGAGCTATCTGACTTGCATGGGTACTTAGAACTGAACTTCTAAGCAGTAAGCACTCTTAACTGCTGACCTATCTCTAGCCCTGATTTGATGTTTTAACACAGGATTTCACTGTGTAGTCCAGGCTGAAGATCTTAGCTTCCGGAGTGCTGGATTACAGTGTGCACCACTATGTTCAGCCTAAAAAAAATTTCTAGTTGCTCATTGGATTCTGAGTTTATTAGGAAAAAGTCAAGAATAACTTATTTTATATGGTTTATTTTGATTTGGGGGGGTGGATATTTTTAAAAAACAAAACTGAAATACAACATGCCATGGTAACCTAAGCCTCTAATCCCAGACTTTGGGATCTAGAGGCAGGCAAGCTTCAACTACATAGTGAGTTCAAGACCATCTACATGAGACTGTTTCTCAAAACAGAATAACAGTGGGGGAGGAGCCAGGCATTGTTCTACATACCTGGAACAGCAGTTCTCAACCTGTGGGTCTTGACCCCTTTGATAGGGGTGGGGCTAGGGGGTTGAATGACCTTTTCACAGGAGTTACGTATCAGATATCCTGCATATCAGATACTTACAATATCATAACAGTGAGTCATAACAGTGGCAAGATTACAGTTAGGAAGTAGCAACAAAATCATGGTTGGGGGTAACTGTCAGTATTCAGGCATCTGTACTAGCCTGTTTTTGGGGTTCTGATAGGATACGCCCTCAGCTGCAGCCACTAAGAGCATAGTGTGTATTCACAATGTTCCTTTTAAAAAGGACCCTGACCACCTCCCATCCTTCTCTCTCTTTCTCTTTCTCTCCCTCTCTGAATTGGAAAATGTCTCAGAATCTGCTTGGGGTACTGTTTTTTCTGTTTTCAGTTTTTCTTTTTCTTTTTTGGACTGATCTCACTGTATAGTCTGGACTGGTTTTAAACTGGCAATAGTACTGCCTCAGCTTCCCCAGTGCTGGGACTAGAGCCTTGTACCAACACACCTGGCACCTTTATTTAAAGGGTTACAAAATGGAACTGGTATTGTGTACATAGTACTGGAGGTGGTGAAGAGAGGAGGAGGATCAAAAGTTCAAAGGTTGAGGGCAAAAGAAGAGGCTCAATGAAACAGTTTTGATGTTGACAAGAAAAATCACTAATAGGTGGGTGGGTGATTATGCTTCTGTGTCATTAACTCACTATCCAGCAGTTGAATGGCTAGCCATAAGTTGATAACTAGCCATAAGTTGAAGCTTTTTGTTGTTTTGTTCTTTGAGGTTTTTTTTTTTTTTTTTTACATGATTTACTCATTTTAATTTATGTGCAGTGGTGTTTTGTCTGCATGTATGTGTATATGCAGGTGTTGAATCCCCTGGACCTGGAATTAACAGACAGATGTGAGCTGCCATGTGGGTGCTGGGAATTGAACCTGGCTCTAAAAGAGCAGCCAGAGCTTTTAACCTCTCTCCAGCCCCTTGGTTTTTATGTATAAGATGTGTTTTGCCTGCATGTACGTCTGTACACCAAGTTTATTCAGTGCCCGAAGAACCTAGAAGAGGTTGGAACTGGAGTTAAAGCTGGTTGTTTTGAGGTACTGTGTGGATGCTAGGATCCAACCCAGGTTCCCTAGAAGAGCAACCAGTGCTTGTACCCACTGAGCCATCTGTCCAGCCCTTAAGGAGATAGAGTCTTACTGTGTAATTCATGCTAACTTGGAACTTACAGTCTGTTTCCTGGGTGCTAAGTTGATACTTTAAGGAAGTGTGGTTTTGGAGTTTGGTTTCATTATGTTATTGCACACAGTAAGTTGATGACCATTTGGTTTGTTGTTGCTAAAATAAAACTGTAGAGGTCAGTAAAGTAATTAGTACCATATAATCACTTTTTTTTCTTTTAAAATTGAATTTCCCCTCTAAGAATTGTATCTTGTGAATTTTCCCAAATTATTTTGGGCACTCTATAATTCAGAGTTTCTGAATTCCTCTTGTGATCCCCCTCCCGATTTTTGTTTGTTTTCTAATGACATGTTAAACACAGGCATTAAAAATAATAGATAATTGTGTCCTTAGGTCTGGTATGTTTTTGCATCTTGAGTCTAAACAGTGCACCTCATGAAACCATGTTACAAAATTTTCATTTGCAAAAGAGAATTCTTTTACACAGAGAAACCCTGTCTTGGAGATAAAAGAAAATATTCTTTAGAAAGCTATATTAACTTTTTTTTTACTAAAATATTAAGTGTTGCTTAATCATAACTCTTGTTATAAATTGCATACTTTGAGTATTGGGATTTAGCCACAGCAACATAGTACAACTGTTGTAAAGACACCTTAATTCAGCCCTCTTTGAGAGCCCCATACCCATACCCTGCATGTACACAGTGTCTTTCCTATGTGCATCTGTCTAAATACTTAGTAAGGTCACCAACTTAGCTTCACTTTGACTGGTCTTGAAACTTTCCTGCAGCCTAGCCAAGGTCTCGATTTACCTGAGTGAAGGGCCTAACATTGACAGTTGGCGTCATCCTTCTCTCTTTTCCTCCCTTTCTTTATTTCTTTTGTTTTTCTGGAATAGGGTCTCATGTAATCCTTGTTGTTTCTCTGAGACAGGGTTTCTCTGTTTAGCCCTAGTTGTCCTGGAACTTGCTTTGTAGACCAGGCTGGCCTCTAACTCAGAGATCTGCCTGTTTCTGCCTCCCAAGTACTGGGATTAAAGCTGTGTGCCACTACAGACTGGCGCCCAGAATAGTCAAAGCCTATGTCTCCCAAATACTACTATCACAGGAGTGTTCCACCTGATGCATTTTGATTATTTGATTTTTGTTGTTGTTTTTGCTTTGAATTTTTGTTTCTTGTGGGGGAGCCAGAGGCAGGAAAACCACTGCAGGTTCCAGGCCAGCTTGGACTATACAGCTAGATTCCCTCACCACCACTTCCACCACCCCCACCCCCACCCCGCCCTGGTTCTGTAGCCCAGGCTGGCTTCGAACCCAGAGATCTTCCTGCCTCTGCCTCCTGTGTGCTGGGCTCAAAGTCAGGTGCCACTACCTCCCAACTAAAAAATATGTATATTTTTACATTTTAATGATAATGTGTATGTATGTGGGTATGTGCATGTGAGATAGATGTGAGTGCAGGTGCCCATATCGAGTCCAGAAAGGGTGTTAGATTCCATGAAGCTGGCATCACAGAGGCTTGTGATTTCCCTGACATGGGTGCTTAGAATTGAACCTAGGTCCTCCACAGTAGTAGTGGTATACTGTCTTAACCACTGAGCCATCTTTCCAGCCCCTTTTGTTTATTCTTCGAAATATGATCTTGCTATATTTTTTCCAGGTTGGTCTTGAAATTCTTGTAGTATCAAAATTTTTCTATCTTAGCCTCTTGAGTAGCTGGGGCTACATGTGTGTGCCACCATGCCCACATGATTTGCTTTTTTTTTTTTTTTTTAATTTTTGTTTCTGAGACATGGTCTCTCTGTAGCCTGGCTGTCCTAGAACTCCCTATATAGACTGGGCTGACCTTGAACTCACAAAGATTTGCCTGCTTTTGTTGCAATATATGTATTTCTTTTTTCCTCTGGCTTGTTGTATACTAATAAAATAGCCTTAGAATCTTCAAAATGATATTTATCTTTTCATGTGTTAATAAACTAACTGACTTGTCCCTGGTAGTTTTTTTTATTTCTTTCTTTAGGTATTAACCAGGGTTATTCTGCTTGCTTGGTGGAATTCTACTCCTTTTGACATTGTAATAGAGCTTAATGGGCAGCCGTCTTGGTGGACAAATCTTTGTAAAAACATAGCCTAAAAATACAAAACATACAAAAATATAGTAACCCTTAACTTCTAATTATGTTAGAAGTACAGATCTATAGTTTCTAGGAAATCTGGTTATAGTATGCTTTTTTGGGGGGGGGGTTGGTTTTTTTTTTTTTTTTTTTTTTTGGTTTTTTGAGACAGGGTTTCTGTGTAGCTTTGGAGCCTATCCTAGCACTCTCTCTGGAGACCAGGCTGGCCTCGAACTCAAGAGATCCACCTGTCTCTGCGTCCCAAGTGCTGGGATTAAAAGTGTATGCCACCAACGCCCAGCTAGTATGCTATTTTTATCTTCTAGTCATATTTGAGTACTCCTTTAGCTACATTCTATTTTTGTGTAACTTGATTTTTCTTAACAAAGTAAATCCTTTATAATATCAGTTTATCATTTCTAGCTTCTCTATCAGTAGTAAACCCAAGGAGGTCATTGCCATATTTGTCCTTTGCAGTATCTTTTTTCCTGTTTTTGTTTTGGTTGAGACAGTCTCATTCTGTGGCCTCAGATTTGTGGTGGTCTTTCTGCCTTAGCTTTCCAAGTATAAAGTTATAGGCATGCAATACCACACCTGTATTATCTTTATATAATAAACCTGTTATTTTTCTTTTCTCTTTTTCTTTTTCTTTTTTCTTTTTTGGTTTTTTTGTTTGTTTGTTTTTTGAGACAGGGTTTCTCTGTGTAACAACTCTGGCTGTCTAGGAACTCACTTTGTAAACCAGGCTGGTCTTGAACTCAGAGATCCTATTGCTTCTGCCTCCCGAGTGCTGGGATTAAAGACATGTGCCATCACCACCCAGCTATTTATTTTTCTAAACAGGGTACGTAGTTCTGTTTGACCTGCAATTCATTATGTAAACCAGGTTGGCCTTGAATTTGTGGTAATTCTCCTGCTTCTGCCTCTTGAGTACCGGAATTACACATGTACCATCATATCTGATCTAAACTAGTAAATGTAAAGATTCTTTGAGTTCTATAAATCATTCTAGCAAATCAAACTTTAGGAGAGAATCATGAGACCATTGATTTATAGCTAGTTGATAAGCATGGGTGAGCTGGGCGGTAGTGGCACACTCCTTTAGTCCTAGCACTTGGAAGGCAGGTGTAGGTAGATCTCTGTGAGTTCAAGGCCAGCCTGGTCTACAAAGCTACACAGAAACCCTGTCTCAAAAAATAAAAAAATTAAAAAAAAAAGGGGGTCGGGGGAGGAAAAGAAAAGAGAAAGAAAGAAAAAAGGGAAAAAAGAAGCATGGGTGAACAAGCTGGGAATTAGAGTGGCATTGGAATTGGGGCAGTTGGAAACCCTGCCCCCCAAACACACACATACACACAGATGTCAGAAGCATATTGTTAAGAGTTAGGAGAAAACTGGATTTGTTTATTCTTATATCAAGATTATGGGGTTTTTGTTTTGTTCTGTTTTAGTTCCAGCCAATGGGAAATGAGTTACATTTAATTTTTAAAGATACTAGAAAGTTCTGATGGTTACTCTTTAATCCTGCAGTGTCTCAGGTAACTGATGGCCATGCAAGAAAAATATCCAAATGACAGATCTTCTCATGCTACTTCACCAGGTAAGTAGTCTTCTGTATTCAATTTTGGCTTCTACTATTTCATATTTGTGTGTGGTATGCAGATATGCTCTCTTGTGTATATGGAGTCCAGAGGTTAACTTCTGTGTCTGACTATGAGACATAAGTTTTCTGTGAAATAGGGGGAAACAGCATGAATCTATGTGTTCTACTCACGAGCTAGTCCTCAAAGATTGGAATTCTTAGATATCAGCTATGAGGATTATTTCTAGATCATAGTGGTGCATCCCATACTCTTGGGAGCACAGAGGCAGATGACAGGTTCAAGGCCATCCTGGGCTGTGTGTGCATCCAGAACCTACCTCAAAAGAAAAATAGTACATTGGGATTTTTTCTTTTGGTGTTGCTAAACTTTGAACCCTGAGCTTTTTAGATGCAAAATAAGAATTCTACCACTGAGCTACATCTCCAGCCCTTCAAAAGAAAGAAAAAATGAATGAAAAGAAAGATAACAAGCAAGTAACACACACACTTGAGGCCAAGGCAGGAGGATCAAGAGTTTGAAGGCAAAGGTGACATTGTCTCAAAAACAAAAAATTATTTCGATTTTAGTCTTTCTAGGACTTGCTTTGTGTTTTCTTTGTTTCTCATTGGTTTTGTAGACAAGAGCATGCTATGTAGTCCAGGCTGTCCTCACTTGAGAACATCTTCTTGCCTTGGCTAAAATAAAGTTTTTTTTTTTTTTTTTTTTAAATCAAGTGTATGTGTGGCTATATACACATGAGTACAGGTGGTAGGCCAGGCCAGAAAAGGGTGATGGATTCCCCCTAGGAACTGAACTTGGATACTCAGTGAGAACAGTATGTGCTCTTAAACCACTGAGCCATTTCCACAACTGTTAATTTTTAAAAATACTAATCTTGAGCCAGGCGTTAGTGGCACACGCCTTTAGTCCCAGCACTCGGGAGGCAGAAGCCAGTGGATCTCTCTGAATTTGAGACCAGCCTGATCTACAAGAGCTAGTTCCAGGACAGCCTCCAAAGCCACAGAGAAACCCTGTTTTGAAAAATTGAAATAACTAACTAAATAATACTAATCTTACCTACCTCCTAGTACATAACAACAAGCTTTGAAGTCAAATCCCATTAGTGTTGCTTTTTCTTACCTGCTCAGAACTCAAGTGTTTTAGTGATTTTGTGTGTATTCGTGTTCTGCCTGCATGTATGGTCTGTGCATCAAGTGCATGCCTGGTGCCGCCAGAGGCCAGAACATGGCCTCAGATCCTATGAAACTGGAGTTATAGATGGTTGTAAGCCATCATGTGTGTGTTGGGTATCAAACTTAGGTCCCCTGGAAGAGCAGCCAGTGCTCCTAATTGCTGAACCATCTTTCCAGCCCCTTATGTGGTTTCTTTGTATTGCCCTCAAGATAACACTTTTGAGACACGGTCTCACTGTGTAACCCTGGCTAGACTAGAATTTGATATGTAGCTCTGCCTAACCTTGAACTCAAAGAGACCTGTCTCTGTGCTAGGATTAAAGGCATGCACCACCATACCTGGATCACCTTAAAATTTTTAGATTGACTTTTGATCTGGATTGACCTATTGAGGGTACCCTGGTTCAGACTAGCAATAGTTTTCAACAGGAACTGAAATATGTTTCTTTGTGCTGCCTTGGGACATGTAGAATAATTCACACATCATTGTGATTGAATGAGGGTTGTTGGCTGGTATTCAGTTTGTAGAGGCCAGTGATGTTAAACCAGTCTATGATGTGTAGACTACATAGGCTATACATTGAATATTTTTTGCTCAGAATGTTAACAGTACCCATTGATAAACCATGTAAAGGAATGTGTGTGGGTATTGGACATGCACATGTACATCATAGCTCTCTTCTCTGTAGATTAAAGTGTTATGGCTTCAAAATTTCAATAAATTGGGTGTATGTGTAGTGATTTAGGACCCTATAGCAAAAAAAAGAAAGAAAAAAAGCAAAACCCCCTTGCTGGGCGATGGTGGAGCACACCTTTGATCCCAGCACTTGGGAGGCAGAAGCAGGTGGATCTCTGTGCGTTCAAGGCTAGCCTGGTCTACAAAGAGAGTTCCAGGACAGGCTCCGAAGCTACACAGAAAACCCCTGTCTCAAAAAATCAAAAACAAAAAAACAAAGCAAACCCCCTAAACATGAGTGTGCTTTGAGACAAGGGTTTCCCTATATAGCCTTGACTGGCCTGGAACCAGCTGTGTGAATATGGCTGTCATTGAATGTGGAGTGATGTTTCTGCCTCCTAACTACAGTGTGTGCCACCATGCCAGGCTTCTTGTTAGGTCTTACTTCTACCTTTTAACATTCTGTGTCTCGTGTATTTCCATTAAAAATCAATTAACTCGGCTGGGCGGTGGTGGCACATGCCTTTAATCCCAGCACTGGGGAGGCAGAGGCAGGCAGATCTCTCAGTTTGAGGCCAGCCTGGTCTACAGTTCCAAGACAGCCAAGGGCTACACAGAGAAACCCTGTCTCCAAAACAAAAAGTTCTTATTGAAGCAGCTACCAGGCTTTCAGAATGTAATTTCTCATTTGCTGTGGACATAACCTTAAAAAAAAAAAAAAATCCCCAAGGGTTTTCCATGTTAGTAGGCAACCTATTGGGAACATTTTACTGCTGATAAGGTTTTTAAGAACCACACTGCAGATTATCACTATAGTGCATGCTTAGAGCAAGGATCTATTGTAAATCCTTCTATGTTGCTAGTAATAAGGTATAATGTAAGTAGGTCTAACCGAGGTAGAAGGTATCTCTAGGTGCTTAGTTGATTACTTCCATGTTCTTGACATACAGAACTAACAATATGACTGGATTAATCATCTATTATTTGAAAAAGGGTTATCGTGAGAAATCTGAACTTCAGCAACATGGATGGACAGTGAAGGAATTACATGTGAAATCTCCTAAATAAAAATTTACTGACTTTAACCCCCACCACCATCCCACCCCTCCTCCCCCCAAAAAAGTACTTCATCGAGTTTCATGAAAAATACCTCTTATTACAGGTTCCAATGTGATTCAAAAAGGCAGTTCTCTGGGGACTGAATGGCAGACACCAGTTATCTCGGAGGCCTTTCGGAGCCGCTTCAGCCGTTGCTCAAGCATAGCTGACAGTGGGGACACAGCCATTGGAACATCATGCTCAGACATTGCAGAGGGTAAGGTTGGATTTGTGATTTGATTGTCAACATAATGCTGCCATTTTCAATTTGAATTCCATTTATTTGTCATTTACAGAATGATCATAGGGTTAGGCTATTCAGTTATGGAATCTGAATAATTATTTCGTAATATCTCCCAAGTTTGTTGGCATGAATACACAGACCTGTTTTTTGTTTGTTTTTATTTCTGTGATACTAGAAATTGATTCTTGGATCCTCACACATGCTGGACAGGTGTTCTGCCAGTCAGACATAGAGCTTATCTATTGTTTTTCATTCTAGGCCTGTTTGCGCTAGTCCCATCTTTAGTTGTTTCTATTAGCTATGCCAGTTTTACTAATATACATGTCCCAGTAGTACTATGAGGCTCTCTCCATCCCTTCTCCTTTACTGATCCCCTTCCATATAACATCTTTGTATCTTTAATATCTCTGCCACTTGTTTTTGCACTTAAATACCAACTACCAATCTGTAATTTTCAAGGTATTTAAATGGGGCCTAGAAGGCAGAAGTTCTAATGATAATAATTACTATTTATGGGGCACAGACTTTTAATCCCAGCACTCAGAAGGCAGGGGCAGGGAGATCTCTGTGTTCAAGGTCAGCTTGATCTGATTTACTGAGTTCAGGACGATCAAAAAGGTACTCTGTTTATCACTAAAAATGTAGATAAATTGGAATCTTTATATGTTTCGAGTAGAAACTTAAAATGTTGTAGTTGCTTTGGAAAAATAATTTGGCAATTTCTACAAAGATTAAATATAAAGATTTTTTTTTTCCTTTTTTGAGACTGGGTCTCAAGTATTCCAGCTTAGCCTAAAGCTCCCTGTATAGCTAAGAATGACCTTGAACTTCTGATATTCCTCCAGACATGTGCCCTGTGCATTATTTTTATGGTATTAGCGACCAAATTCTTCATGCATGCTAGACAAGTGTCTACCACCTGAGATATAGCCTCCTGAAGATAACTTTAAACTAATACACTTTTAGGTTTATGGACAAGAGAAATGAAAACATACACTCACACATACACATATATACATATACATATATATGAATATGAATATTCATAGTAGGCTTATTCATAATCAGCAAAAAAAAAAAAAAAGGGTGAAAACACATTCACACCCATGGATGGAGGACTGAAAAAATGTGGGGGCTGAAGAGATGGCTCAGTGGTTAAGAGCACTGACTGCTCTGCCAAAGGACCCAGGTTCAGTTCCCAGCACGCACATGGCAGTTTACAACTGTAAGTCTAGTTCCAGAGTATCCGATTGCCTCATACAGACATACGCAGGCAAAACACCAATGCAAATGAAATAAAAAAAATATTTAAAAAATGTATATTCACAGGGGCTGGAGAGATGGCTCAGCAGTTAAGAGCACCGGCTGCTCTTCCTGAGTTCCTGAGTTCAATTCCCAGCAACCACATGGTGGCTCACAACCATCTGTAATGAGATCCGATGCTCTCTTCCAGTCTGCAGGCATACATGCAGACAGAACACTGTATACTTAATAAATAAATGAATAAATAAATCTTTAAAAATGTATATTCACATAAAACCTTATAGTAAAACAAATGAAATACTCTTGTGGTTTGAATTAGATGAACCTTAAAAACATTAAAGTTAGTAATAAAAAAAAACAGCAAAATAGAAGATTCACACTACATACTGTTTTGAACATTTCTTTTTTTGTGTGTCTATTATGCCTGTGATCACATGCCATGCTTCAGTCTATCAAAGGTCTGCTTTTGGCAGTCAGTTCTCTCTATCATATGAATCCCAGGGAACTTAAGTTAATCTTGGCAGTAAAGGCTTGGGGGAAAGTGCTCTTAATTGCTGAGCCGTCTCACTGGCTCTCTGGTTGACCAGTTTGATTGTTGAGACAGTCTCATGTATTTCAGGCTGGCCTCCATCTTGCTGTGTAGCTGAGAATGACACTGGATGTTAGCCTCCACATGCTGGGATTACCTCCACTTTCTGAGAATTGGCATAAACTACAATCCCCAGTTAAAGCAATGTTGGAGATTGAACCCAGGACTCTGCATGCTAGAGAAGCACACGTAGTCTACCTGAACCCAGAAGGTTTTTGTTTGTTTGTTTGTTTTCAAGACAGGGTTTCTCTGTGTAACAGCTCTAGCTGTTCTGGAACTTACTCTGTAGACCAGGCTGGCCTTGAACTCACAGAGATCCATCTGCCTCTGCCTCCCCAGTGCTGAGATTAAAGACTTGTGCCACCACCACTCAGCTTTTTTTTAGATTTTTGAGATTACAATGTTGCCAAGGATAGGAGGACAACTGATGGGATTATAGTCACTCCCTACTCTATCCAGTCCTGCTTTTATTTTTAGTTAGCCTTTTATATTTCAGAATTTTGTGTTATGTATGCCCAACCAGTCAAATCTGTGCAAATATCCCAAAGTAATATTTATATTCCTGTTCCATTTCAACATTTACACCATTTTGGTCTCCCAGTTGCTTTAGAACAGAATTACTCAACCTGTAGTTGCTCGGCTGATTGAAACTAGCATCCTTGATAACTGGTGTGGAATATGTCAGAACTGATTGATTTTAGCAGTAGCTGACTTTCCATTCCATGAAAAGGCGGTTGCTGGGAAGAATGGAGTGCTTTTTGAGGGAAAAGGATGTGACTGAGAAATTTAGAATTTATACCTTTGATTGCTTCTTGGCCTTTTGGCTAAGATCAAGTGTAGAATTGTACCTTTGCAATATCAAAGGCTTCATAATTTGGGGGATTGTGAATGTCTATACATAAAATCCCATAAACTAAATCTGGAATACCTTTGAAAATCATAGAATGTAATACAAATTTGAAAATAATTATAGCTATTCTCTTCCAAAATGATCTAAAAGACAAACCAGACTTGGGGTGGACTTGACATTTTAAAGCATGGGTCTGAGTTGGTTGTTTTAGCAGCCCTTCCAGTCTCCATGGCCTCCTCCATTATCATACTATGGGAACAGGACTGTGCTGGGGGGCTCTAAGGAGAGCTGTAGGGTGTGCTGCCATCCTCAAACTGATAACGAGGATGTCAAATAGATTGCCTACTGGTCTTAAACTTAAGGCAGTCTCCTTTAACTGAGAAATTTCCCTTATTCTGATCCTAAGGGGCTAATGCATGTTACCAGAGATAGGAGGAATTCTATGTGCTTGTTTGGTTTTGACACAGAGTTTGATTCTGTAGCCCAGCCTGCCTGGAACTTTATATGTAGCACAAGCTAGTCTTGAATTTGTAGTTGTCCTTCCTCGGCCTCCCAGGTATGCTGAGATTATAGGTATGTACAACCTAGGCTTAGTTTTGAGTTTTATTGTTTTGGAGTTTTTTGTTTCATTTTTAGTATAATCTTTTATATACCTCCAGGGTAAATTGAATATAGGAAGTTGAGTACTTCACATAAATCATACGGGATAACTTGGATTGGATGTGTTTGTTTTTTGTTACTTGTTTGGTTTTGGAGATAATTTTGTTTGTCATAGAATATATATATATATTTATATATATATACACATACATACATACATATACACATACATACACACACACACCAGGTGGGCCTCAAATAAATATAAATCTAATCTGAAAAAAAATTTTAAATCACATTCTAGTACAGATAAGTGGGCAAGTGGAAAACAAAATACAAAATAGAAGATTTCTGTATTTGCCCACTTGAGTGTGCTCAGTGTGCTAGGGTGAAACCTGAGAGTTACTAAGAATAACCTCGAATATCCAGGCTGTCAGCTCTGGGGTGTGGGAGAGAACAATCCTGACTCAGATGCTGTGCTCCTGCCCTGGATCCCCAGCAGCACCGTCTCTCTCCTGTCTTCAGGTAGTCTAGACTCATTGCTCACTTTGAGTGAGGAGCCTTTGGAGGTCAGGGGGCTTCGGTACTCCCTGGAAGGAATTTTATTTTTATTAGATTAGACTATAGTTTAAATTTGTCCAGCTTCCACAAGCATGGGGCTTAATTCATTCCCCTTAAAGTAAGTGTTTTTTGTTTTTTGTTTTTTGTTTTTTTTAAGTTTAGTTTTCAGCTTTGCTTGATTACCACCAAGAGTTTATTGGACAATGGATATAAGTAAAAGTGAAGCCGTTGTTGTGTCTTGTTGGCATATCTTGTAAATAATAGCATTTGAGAAACTGGAACACACATTTCTCAAGTTGTGTCTTCTTGCTTGACTTCCTTTCTTTCTTTTTTAGGGGTTTACGGGTGGTACTCTAGCCATGGCTGGCCCAGAACTGTCAGTGTAGCCCATACTGACCTCAAACTTATGTTTTAGCCTCCTAAGTGCTAGGATTACAGGCATAAACCACTGCTTTCCAGCTCCTACCTGCTTCTTCTGATAGGACTCTCTACTTGGTCTGAAAACAAGTAGAGAACATCTGGCATAGCAACCAAGCAAGAAAACTTGGTGCTTTAATTTTGACTCATGGAATACTCTTCTCTCCACAGATTTTTGCAGCTCAAGCGGCAGCCCTTCTTTTCAGCCAATCAAAAGCCACATAACCATTCCAACAGCCCATGTGATGCCTTCTACTTTGGGGGCCTCTCCTGCCAAACCAAATTCTACACCTTCTGGGCCTTCTTCCTCTAAACTCCCCTTGTCGGGGTTGGCTGAAGGTGTGGGGATGACAAGGAATGGAGACTTCGGTGCAGTGAAACGTTCCCCAGGCCTATCAAGAGATTTCATGTATCTCCCTAGTGCTCCTGGAGAAAATGGGATTCAGCAGTCCTGGTTTCCAGCAGTCGGCCATGAACGAGAGGGAGAGATGAGGAAGTTTGATATTCCTAGCATGGAGTCGACCCTTAACCAGCCAGCCATGGTAGAGACATTATATTCAGATCCACATTACCGAGTCCACTTTCCCACCCCAAGATCTGATGCAAATAAGGATGTATACAAAGTATTGCCAGAATCCAAGAAGGCACCAGGCAGTGGTGCAGTCTTTGAACGGAATGGACCACATGCCAGCAACAGTGGAGTGCTTCCTTTGGGACTCCAGCCTGCTCCTGGGCTTTCCAAGTCACTGTCCTCTCAGGTGTGGCAACCAAGTCCTGACCCTTGGCATCCTGGAGAACAGTCTTGTGAACTCAGTACTTGTCGACAGCAGTTGGAACTAATTCGTTTACAGATGGAACAAATGCAGGTAGAGAACCATTTATTGCATTTTGTGTGCTGTGTTCCTCCTTTGGGGTTTTGTTTGTGTTTGTTTTTTGTTTTGTTTTGAGACAAGGTTTCTCTGTGTTGCCCTGGCTGTACATTTTTATTTATTTTTTTTTGTTTGTTTGTTTTTTGTTTATCGAGACAGGGACCCTGTGTAGCTTTGGAGCCTGTCCTGGAACTAGCTCTTGTAGACCAGGCTGGTCTTGAACTCACAAGGATCCACCAGCCTTTGGTTGTCCTGAAGCCTGGTTGTCCGTGTAGACTGGTTAGGTTGTTAACTCACACAGATCCACCTGCCTCTGCCTCCCCAGTGCTGGAATTAAAGGCCACCATGCCCAGCCCTAAAGATCATCTTTGAGGGTCCAGTGAGATTGGTTAGTAGGTAAAGACTGCTGTACAAGCCTGGAACATGAATTCCATCCCTAGCCTGCATGACATCCACATATGTTCTTTCTCACACACACAATCCCAATCAACATTTGAAGCTGGATGTGATGTTGAATGCCTGTCTAAGGAGGCAGAGGCAGAGGCAGGAAAAGCTATCATGAATTGGAGGCCAGCTTGAGTTCCAGGCCAACTAGGACTACAGGTCTAGCTAGACCGTGCCTCAAAAATATAGCAGTGTCGGGGATGGGGGATGTCTTTGAACTCTTGGTTGCTTGGTCGGGGTTTTTTATTAAGCCTTACCCCCCTTTGTGCTACTGAAGAGTGAAAAGGAAGAAAGCAGCCTATGTTCTTTCCTGGTCTGGGAGCTCCTGATTTAATAACTGACCACAGAAACTAGAGACTTTCTGAATAGAGTGTTTAGTTGGCAGACATCCCTCTGGCAAGTTCTTTCCAGTCATGCATCAGAGCTAAAATTATTTTTAAAACATTGGCTTTTATCACCCTGAGCCAGACTAGACCTTGATTTCTAATCATAACTGGGTACTGTTCAGGTGTTTCAGGTACCTGTGGACAAGCTCAAGCCTGTCTGATCTGTTTGTCTTCCAGCTTCAAAATGGAGCCGTCTGTCACCATCCTGCTGCTTTTGCTCCTTTACTGCCTACCTTAGAGCCAGCACAGTGGCTCAGCATCTTGAACAGTAATGAACATCTTCTGAAGGAAAAGGAGCTCCTCATTGACAAGTAAGATGTCAGGGGTGCTGTAAGACCAGGCTCTGCTGTTGGGTCTCCCCGGGAGGCGCCTAGTAAGGTCTTCCCAAGGGCAGTTTGTCCCTGTCCCTCACTTTACCTCCTTTTTAGGCCCATGCTTTACCCCAAGGTAGAACCTGGCTGCTGTGCAGCTTGCTCTTACCTCTTAGTAATGTGATAGGCCAGGGCCTCTGCAGGAGGACTTACAGGGGGTGACTGGTTCAATGCAAATCTTTCTTCATTTTCCCCCTTAATCTTTTTCTCATTTGATTCTATCCTTTCACCAAAATATAATGACTAGCATACATTTATGGTATAGTGGTGTAGCATACATAGCTGCCTTCTAAAATGGCATCTAGAGTCAAGGTCTATCTATTTCCTTCAATCTAAGGAAAGGGCTCATACTGTAAAGAAGTTTAATGTCAGGATCTCAAATCTGACCATTGGCTTTTGCAGGCAGAGGAAACATATCTCTCAGTTGGAGCAGAAAGTTCGAGAGAGTGAACTACAAGTGCATAGTGCCCTTTTGGGCCGTCCTGCCCCCTTTGGGGATGTCTGCTTATTGAGGCTACAGGTAAATTAATAGCCCCCAGGGCAATTTAGTATTTTCTCTGTGCTTAGATATCCAGGAAATACAGAAGGAAGCAAATGACAAAGGTGCCCTGCCCTTAAAGAGTAAACATCTTAAACTTTGCTGGACCTTTATGAAGTTAGAAAAGACTTCAGGGGAAGCCAGGTGAGAGTCCAGATGTCTTGGTATCAGAAGATACTTAGGAGGAAAGGAAGGCAAAGCATTGTCAATTGTAAGGTCCTAGCATTGAATAATATTCTTGGAAGTCTTTGTGTTTTATATGTATGTGTATGGTTGGGGCTAAAGAAAGATTTGTTTATGTGTATGAATGTGTTGCCTATTTGTATATATGTACACAGCATTCATGCATGGTGCCTGAGGAAGTCAGAATAGGATGTGCAAGAGTAGCAAGTAATCTAAACTGATGCCCCATCTCTCCAGCCCTTGTATGTAGATGTTTTTGACTACGTGTATGTTTGTGTACTACTTGAATGCCTGGAATCTGTGGCCAGACGAGGGCATATATACTCCCTGGATTTGGAGTTACAAATGGTTGTGAGCTGTTATGTGGATTATAGAATCAAACATCCAGTGCTCTTAACTGCTGAGCCATCTCTACAGCCTTATTCTTAAGGAGTCTTTTTGGTTTGGTTGATTTGGGTTTTTTGTTTGTTTGCTTTTTGTTTTTTTCAAGACAGGTTTTCTCTGCTGTATCTCTGGCTGTCCTGGAACTCACCCTGTAGACCAGGCCAGCCTCAAACTTGGAGATCTATCTGCCTCTGCCCAACATGTGCTGGGATTAAAAGATTGTACCACTACCACCAGACATTCTTAGAGTCTTGATCTGCTAGCCCTGGCGAAATAAAAAGTGGCAGAGGCCATGGGAGATTTAGAGCTATTCTCTAGGAACAACTTAAAACCATATTCTCACTCTGTAGGGTTGAGAAGCAGTCTGCTTTGTCAACTGAGCTTGTGAAGTTTGTGCTTTTGAGTGATGAATATTAGCTGTTAAGGCCTGTTTGATCTAACAGCATCAGAATATTCTCTAATTTACTGATGAAAACAAGTATGAGTAGAGGGTGCCAGGCCTCAAGCCTGAGTCTTGTGATGGTTTGTCTGTGTTCCTTCCTCTGTGGTATACATCCTTGGGTATTGCTGTAGTTTTTTTATTTGATTTAACTTTATTTCTTTTTTATGTGTTTGGGTATTTTGCCTGTCTGTATGTCTATGTACTGTGTGTATGTCTGTGTCATGTGTGTGTGCCTTGTGTCCATGAAGGTCAGAAGTGGGCTTGAATCTCCTGGAACTGGAACTATGGATTGATGTTAGCTGCCATTTGGGTGGTGGGAACTGAACCCAGGTCCTTTGCAAGAGCAGCCAGTGCTCTAACCACTGAGCCAAATCTTCATCCCTAGGTATTGCTGTTAAAACTGGTTCTCAAACTTAAGTGCACATCAGAGTCACTTGGAGGGCTGGCTTACAACACAGATTACTAGGATCTGTCCCTAGAACTTTTGATTCAATGGACCAATGAGTAAGATTCCAAAACTTAACAAATTCCAAAAACAAGGAATACTGACTCCTGGAGAAGCAGTACCTGAGAAATCATTGGAGAAGGGTGATACTTGACCTAGAGTGTAATGGGAAATGTGTAATTACAGGGAAACCGTTATGTTTTTGGCAGGAGCTGCAGCGTGAGAACACTTTCTTACGGGCACAGTTTGCACAGAAGACAGAAGCCTTGAGCAAAGAAAAGATGGAGCTTGAAAAGAAACTCTCTGCTTCAGAAGTTGAAATCCAGCTCATCAGAGAGTCTCTCAAAGTGACACTACAGAAGCATTCGGAGGAGGGGAAGAAGCAGGAAGAAAGGGTGAGCTGAGAAGCTGATGGCTTTAAACCATGACAGAGTTTAGTAGTCAGCCCTCTTTGGGAAGTAGTCTCTCTAGTCTGTTCCCCAAATCAAGAGAAGCCAGTCAGGTGGGACTCTGCATCGGCTTCTCACAGGGGGCCAGTCTAGAGATGGAACTACTTTTCTGCTTCGTTTCTACAAGACTTCTCAAGTTGGGGAGAGGTGAACAGTCCCTCACTAGCACAAGTTCTGTTGTGCTGCCAGCTTTCTGGAGGGATCCACCTGGGCAGTCGTTTCAGATAACACACCGCAAGAGGTTTAAATGCCTGTGGTAACCCTAACTCCGTTCAGTCTGCTTTCTCTCATCATACTGAAAAGTAGAGAACGAGTTCATGCTTGCAGCTAGATTGTGAGTTTGTCAGTGCTCTTAGGATTCCTTAGTATAAAATTGGGGAAGATTGTTTAAAATTTGGGGATTCCGTTGGTATTCCAATTCACAGCTTTCTCTAGAAATGTTCTTGGGGAACTAATTTAGCTCTAGACTACTTGTGTCAAAACCAGTTATGACAGTGTTTTTTTTTTTTGTTTTTTTTTTTTGTTTTTTTTTTTAAATCTCATGTCTTTATTATGGGGCAAGTACATAGAAGACAACCTATGAGAATTAGTTTTCTTTTTCCATTATGTGGATTCTAGGAATTGAACTCAGGTTGTCAGACTTGATAGCAAATGCCTTTAGCCATTGAGCTATTTCATCAGCTTTTTTTTTTTTTTTTTTTTTGTGGTTGTTGTTTTGTTTTGTTTTTTCTTTTGCTTTTTTTGAAATTGTGATCTCACTGTGTTTTCCAGACTGGCCTGCTTCTGCCACACTAAGCTTTCTTTTCAAGGGTGTGGAGGGGGTTGTTTTTGTTTGTTTTTTATTCTGAGACAGCCCTGGCTGTCCTGGAACTAGCTCTGTAGACTAGGCTGGCCTCGAACTCACAGAGATCTGCCTGCCTCTGCCTCCCAAGTAATGGGATTAAAGATATGCACCCGCAGGCTACTAGGCTTTCTTTTGCCTTTGTATTCGGTCTAAGACTTCACCCCATGTGTGAGGCCATCACAATTTAGGGTTTGTCTTCCCACCTCAGGTAACCTAATCTAGATAAATCCCTCACAGATGTGGCAAAAGGCTTATCTACTCAGTGGTTCTATATCCTATCAATCAACAGTACTAACCATGTGGCTTGTTAAATTGTGGTGTGCAGTTAGATAGATAGCTCAGTGGGCAAAAGGCTTTCTGCAAAGCCTGATGACCTGAGTTCAGTCCCTAGTTCCCACAGGGAAGGAGAGAGCTAACTCCTGAAAGTTATTCTTTGACATCCACATGTGTGCCACATATACCCACCCATACATACCATACATATACACAATAATTTTAAAGGGGAAAAGTGTCAGGCAAGGTGGTGCATGATTTTAATCCCAACACTCAGGAGGCAAAGGCAGACATATTTCTGTGAGTTTGTGAGCAGCCTGGTTTATATATAGCAAGTTCTAGGGTAACTAAGGCTACATAGTGAGACTCTACCACCAAAAAACAACGAGGGGGGGGGTAGGTTTGACTTTTGATTCTCAGTTGCTTAGAGTCTTGGATTTGTACATATACTTTTACTTGTACTTGTTTTCAGACCCATATTGCACCCTCTTTCTTGCCAAGAGTTGACACTCATGGGTCTTCAAGCCTCTCATTTGACCTCTCAGGTTTATAGTTCAAGTCTCTTGTTGGGAAAGCCCACATGAGGGTGATTAACTTGCACTGAGATTAACAATGCATTCCTTGAATTTTCAGGTCTGTAATTGAGACCTGCCTCCAGAGTGCCTGGGAGGAAGTTAGAGGTACTATGCGCTTGAAGTACGGAGGCTCATGGGAGTGGTCTGTAACTTCCAGGAAGATTAATCCTCTGCCATGAGTAATTTCTCTTTCTCTCTGCATACTTTGATCCTTTGAAAACATGTTAAAATATCACATACATTTTATTTTAAAGATTTTATTTTTATTTGTATATGTCACATACCTGCAGTTTCATGCAGATGCCCTAACAAAGTGTTGGGTTTTCTAGAACTGGAGTTACAGGAGGTTATGACATGGGTGCTCTTAACTGCCAACATTAAAGCAGCCCCTGGCTGGTCTCAACTCAAGAAGATCCACCAACCTCTGACTCCTGAGTGCTGGGGTTAGAAGAATGTGCCACCACACCCAGCTCGTCTTTTTTTTTTTTTTTTTTTTTTCAAAAGTTAATACTTTATGTTTTACATGTGGTCACTTTATCTTTTTAGCGTTTATTCTAGAATTGATTTGTCATTTTTCAGTAAACTTCCCAGGAGATGTTGGTACAAATTGAAATGTGAGAATTACAGGTTCAGAGCTTTTGCAGCCTAGACCTGGGATACAGCTTTTAACTTATTTTCAAGATTGTCATGTCTTTGGATGGAAGAGTAGGGGTGTGTCTCTGCACTGACAAAATTCTCTGCCTCATTTTTCTGCTTTTGTTCCCCCTAGAGCTTCCTTATTTATAAGCCAAAGACAACATCTCCTTTCAACAACACTTTATTATAGAGTTTCTTCTGGGACATTGTGCTATGCTTTAGGGATATGATAATTTAGCCAAATGGATGTAATCCATAGAAATAGCCATTCCTATCAAAAGAGTTTATCTTATCAGACAGATGATTATGTTATAGCAATGCTACTGTTTTGTTTTGTTTGTTTTTTATGTGCATTTGTGTTTTGCCTGCCTGTATGTCTGTGTGAGTGTGTCAGATCTTGGAACTATATACAGTTGTTAGCGGCCATGTGGGTGCTGGAAATTGAACCCAGGGTCTCTGGAAGAGCAGCCAGTGCTCTTAACCAATGAGCCATCTCTCCAGCCCCTGTTTTGTTTATTTTTAATGTGTTCCTGTGTTTTGCCTGTGTGTTTGCCAATTCACTATATTCATGTAGTGCCCTTGGGGGCAGAAGGTGTCAGATCCCCTGAAACTGGAGGTATAGATGGTTGTGTGGTACCATGTGAGTACTGGGAATAGAGCCTGGGTCCTCTACAAGACCAGCCACTGTTCTGACTACTGAGTCTTCCCTCCAATCCAGAAACTAGTTTCAGTTTTTTGTTTTTTTTATTATTGTTACTAAGATCCGGCTAACATTATTTTTTACTTATTTTATGTGTGTGTGTGTGTGTGTGTGTGTGTGTGTGTGTGGTTTGTTTTTTGTTTTTCAAGGCAGGATTTCTCTGTGAAGCAGCCCTGGCTGACTTGAAACTCTTTGTAGACCAGGCTAGCCTTGAACTCACAGAGATCCTGCGCCATGGTGGCGCAGGATTAATTAATTTAATTAATAAAATTAAATAAAATTTTATTTAAGGGATTTTGCTTCCTCAGTTGTCTGTCCAGGTCACTTGGGTTCAAGATTTTTATAACTAGCCCTTTCTCAAAGAAAGACGCTAAGTCCACTTGTGCTATCAGCCCTTTTATTCTTTATGTCTCCTTGGAATAGAAGCACATAGTCACGATAACTCAGGGTTCTCCACCTGAGGATTTCTGTTCATTTCTTCAAACAATTTACTTTAGGAACCATGTTAAGGTAGATCTGTGTCTCGCTGACGGGATGGATACCAGTTTTTTGAAACTACCTTAGGTGCTCTTTATCCCTACCCTTGACTGGAAAGTTCAGGAATGTTACCTCTGTAGTTTATGTTCCAGTCTAAATGTCAAAGGTTACATAGCTTCCTGTCTTCATTGTGGGAAAGAAAACTCATACCTCCAAGGGCAGAGACAGTAGTCACTGAAAAATCCATAGCCTTAGAGCAATAAATGGAAACAGACTTTTAACATTTCTTTCACTAGGTCAAAGGTCGTGATAAACATATCAATAATTTGAAAAAGAAATGTCAGAAGGAAGCAGAGCAGAACCGGGAGAAGCAGCAGCGTATTGAAACCTTGGAACGATACCTAGCTGACCTGCCCACCCTTGAAGATCATCAGAAGCAGACCGAGCAGGTAACAGCAATCTCTGGTTATATTGGGTACAAGAAGGGAGTGGCCAGGCAGGGGGTGGTTCTCATTATCTGACTTATTGAAAGAAGTATTTCAAAGGAGTCATCTCTAACTAGATACACAACTGGATGCTTTTTTTTTTTTTTTTTTTAATTTGAGGTACAGTCTCTCTATGTAGTCCTGGAACTTACTCTGTAGACCAGGCTGGCCTCTTAACTCAAAGAGATCACCTGTCTCTTCTTATGAGTGCTGGGATTAAAGGTGTGTGTCAGCACACCAACCTTGTTTTGTTTCTTGGAGACAAGGTCTCATTGTAAATCCCTGGCTGGTCTAGAACTCATTATGTAGAGCAGACTGGCTTGAACTCGGGGAGGTCTACTTGCCTCTGGCTGGGATTAAAGGCAAGTGCCACCATACCCAGTTTAAGACCGAAGATGTGGGGGATCATCATCCTTAGCTAAGCATGGAATCATGTCTTATAGCTTAAGGATGCTGAGTTGAAGAACACAGAACTGCAGGAGAGAGTGGCTGAGCTGGAGACTTTGGTGGAGGACACCCAGGCAACCTGCAGAGAGAAGGAGGTTCAGCTGGAAAGCCTGAGACAAAAAGAAGCAGAATTCTTCTCTGCTAGACATAGGTAATGCCCTCTAGACTTGAGGAGAGGAGAGAGTTTTGTATTGGTGCAGTGATACTACCCTACTTACATATTTGAATTTGAGTGAATGTGGAGGCAAGCATGCATGCTCACACACACATCCTGCTCTTGCTCTTAGAGCTTTGTTTTCTTTGGATTGTGACGAATAGGAAAATTGCTTATGGGTGGAGAATTTATCTTTGTGGTGTAGTGTGGGTTTATCATAGCATGATTGGGAAAACACTTCTGTCTTAGGGGTTTGGTTTTTTGTTTTGTTTTCTTCAAGATAGGGTTTCTCTATGTAGTTTTGTAGATCAGACTGGCCTCGAACTTGCAGAGATCTGCCTGCCTCTGCATCCCAGGTGCTGGGAATAAGGGTGTGTGCCACCACCACTGGCTTTCTTAGGGTTTTTATTTCTGTGAAGAGAAGCCATGACCATAACAACTCTTATAAAGGAAAACATTTATTTGGGGTGTCTTGCTTACAGTTTCAGAGGTTCAGGCCATTATGATCATGGTGAGGAGCATGGTGTCATGAAGGCAGACATGGTCCTGGAGCTGAGTCCTACATCTTGCAGACAACAGGAAGTCAATTGACACACTGGACAGTATCCTGAGTGTAGGAAATCTTGAAGCCCACCCCCACAGTGACACACTTCCTCCAAAAGGCCATGCCCGCTCTAACAAAGCTATATCTCCTATTAGTGCCACTTCCTATGAGATCATAGGGACCAAAGTACCACACCATCTCAGTGCGTAGCACAAAAGCCTTCAGAGCCAGGCATGGTGATGCACACTTTTAATCACAGCACTCGCACTCAGGAGGCAGAAACAGATCTTTATGATTTTGAGCCAGCCTAGTCTACATAATTCCAGGCCAGCTAAAGCTACATAGTGAGACTATCTCAAAAGAAAGGAAAATAGTTTATAAAGTAGGAAATGAAGTAATCTATTTTTTCAGAAATGAATCCTGGTTCTGGATTATCCACATTTTGAGACTGTAAGCTAAAGGCTACCAGGAGCATCTATTTCTCATCAGCCCTCAGAATTGATTTTTGTTTTTTAGTGGGGTATGTTTGAGATAAGGTCTTATTATGTACCTTGCCTGGCCTCGAGCTCACAAAGATCCATTGACCTCCACATCCCCTTCCCCTCAAATGCTGGGATCACAGGTGTGAATCACCACTCCCAGCCCTCTGAATTATTTCCAATTGCTAGGGTAGTCTCAGGGCATCTTGGAGTTAATAACATTTTTTTTTTTTTTTTTTTGAGACAGGGTTTCTCTGTGTAGCTTTGGAGGCTGTCCTGGAACTCTCTCTGTAGGCCAGGCTGGCCTCAAACTCACTGAGACCTGCCTGCCTCTGCCTCAAAAGTGCTGGGGTTAAAGACATGCGCCACCACTGCCCGGCCAAGCTCAATTTCTTATGTAGCCAAGCTCAATTTCTTATGTAGCCCAAGAACACCTCATTAGGGATCTGTTCTAGAAAATTCTTCAGTCAAGGCTTTGAGGGTTCCTCAAAGTGAGTTCCCTTAAGATGACTTACACTAAGATGACTTGTACCTAGGTGACAATTAAAGATAACTTAAGACAGGGACAAAGCTGGCTCTGCCCATAAACAATATGTACCAAGAAAAGAAAGATAGTTTTCTTTTGTTTATTTCTCCAAATCCTAGCTTAATTTATGCTGGCTGTGAAATCCAGCAAATCCTCCTGTCTCTGGTTTCCAGTACATACTGGAATTTCAGGTATATGTCACCATGCTTAGCAAAAAGAGCTCTTGTATCTTTTTCAATTTCATTTTTTAATACCAAAACAGAACACAAGAGTCTTTGGCAAATAAGGAATTGATGGTATATTGTATAGATTCTGGCCCCTAGCAAAGGAAACTGGATATATTGAATATCCTCTGTCAGGGACACCCTGTATCATATCATCCTCAGCTATGGGTAGGAAGGTGGAATTGTTTTACTCCAAAGACATAGTAAACAACAGAACCAAGAATTAAAGCCACAGTTGTTCTGATTTTATAGTTCTAGAAGAAAACATTGTCTTTCAGCTTGCAAGATAAACAGTCTGTGGAGGACACCAATGGAGAAGGTCTCGAAGTGGAAACAGAATCCCAGCAGAAGGAATGCGATTCCCTCCGAAAGGTGATTAAGGGTACCTGGGTTCTGGCCTGCATAAGTTGGCAGGAAAGAAGGGATTGTATACTGGGAAAGAATGAGGAAGTCTGTCTTATGTCTTAAGCCACCTAGGAACTGCTCCCAAGAGCTTTTCTCTCTTCTGAGAATTCAGCCCTGTATAGCAAGTTTGCATTTTAGGTATTCAGTCTCATGACAAGCAGGTTGCTTATCAGAAATACATGTGAAAGGTAGGGGGTAACATGCTCATCAGATGAACTAAAATCGTGAACTGAAGCCCGGGTGCACTGCAGTCATGTTCATCAAAAAATTATAACCAGTGACTGAGGTGGCCCAGGTTCTCAGCTCATCAAATACTCGACATCCAGTATCTGCTGATGAGATGGGTTACAGGTTAGCAGAAATGATTCAGAGACTGCTTGAGCTCTTGAGGCACAGAAAGCTGGGACTGTTTAGGTTCTCTCCTGGAGTAGACCACTGTGACCAAAGCACTAAACCCATGCCCATTGTAACCCTGGAAAGGGAGACCCAGAAAACTGAATTTGTCATTTTCCAAAGAACCTCTATGTGTACTGGGTGTGTATAAAGTTAATTCCACTGACCTGCAGTCATTAGGTGATGGTCTCCCACCCCAAAAGTGCTCATGGGGACTATTGCATTCTTCTGTAAGACTCTATTATGACTAGAGCAGGGAGTCGCAGGACTGTGAAAGTAGATAATGAAGGAAGGTCAGGTTTAGGGTTAGAGTTGGATTTCTGTAGCTATCACTAAACACCCTGGTCTTAGAGTGGGTGGCAGCTGGCATTGAATCAAAGATCTTCATGTACTTCAGCCTTGTGCTTGTAGCCTTCTTGCTTTCTTGATAACTTTGCCTTTCAGATCGTGGAGCGGCAACAGCTGAAGATAGAGCAGCTGCACTCTCAAGTCCAGGTGAGCAGGAGGCTTTGGCCTGTGGTGGATAGAACTTAACTGATGGGAGCTTGGAATTCAGGTTAACATTTCGCCGCCCTCTCTGCCATGAGATTTGCTTGTAGTTTGGTATACAGTGCTTTGGGACCTCCTGTCTTGTTGAGAAGACGGATGATAGCCGTTTCAGCATAGTTCCCTGTGAGCCAGACTCTCCACCTTCGGGGGTGAACTCAGGAGAGAGTCTGTGAGAAGGGAATGTCAGGGACAAGTTTCTGGAGATCCTAGCATGAATGATGAGGCATTGGCCGGGCAAAGAGGAGCTGAGTGGGATGGAACTGGAATCCTATAGGAGGAACATCAAGGTGTGAGCCAGCATGGTTTAAATGTGAACCAGTAAAGCAGATTGATACTATTGAAGTATAGCCACGTACTGCTTACCTGTGGGGATACATTTTGAGAAATATGCAGTTAGATTATTTCTTCTTTGTGAACATTGAAGTATACTATTAAGACACTTCATCACTAGACTATCTTATAGAATCTCACGTTGATCAAAACATCTTAGACAATGTGTAACTAAGTTAGGTAGTGAGTGGAAAGCTGAGTGGAAGCGGTTATGTGAAGGTCTTGTCTGTCCTACAGTATTAGCTTTTTATTTTTCCTACATGTATGTCTGTGTACCATGTGTGTGCCTGGTGCCCACAAAGGTCAAAAAGGACATCAGATCCCCTGGCACTGTAGTTGTAGATGGTCATAAACAACCATGTGTGTGCTGGGCATCAAACCTAGGTCCTCTGTAAAAACAGCAAGTGCTTTTAACTGCTGAGCTATCTGTCCAGCTCTCTGCTGTGGGGTGGTTTGGTTTTTTGGGTTTTTTTTTTTTTTTTTTTTTTTTTTTTTTTTTTGCTTTTTGAGACAGGGTTTCTCTGTGTAGCTTTGGAGCCTGTCCTGGCACTCGCTCTAGAGACCAGGCTGGCCTTGAACTCACAGAGATCTGCCTGTCTCTGCCTCCCAAGTGCTGGGATTAAAGGAGTGTGCCCACCAATGCCTGGCCGGGTGATGGAAATCTTATTAGAGCATTTAGTTATGGTGTGGTATGGTGAGGTTTGCACTTCAGACTCATCTAGAAGGTGACAAGCCAGAGATTGTTGCAGAAAATCTAGCAAGGTGATGGGGAACGTGGCATAAGGCTTGGCGACAGAAAAGAGATGGATGGAGACGGATGGAAGAGACACTTAGAAGGAATCAGTGACTGACAGGAACAGGGCTTTGAGGAGTAGAAAAGACTCCCGGTTCCTATTTTGGGCCAGAGTAGGAATGTTTATTAATTGCATTCTCTGAGAAATCTTGAGTGAAATAGGTTCACTCAGGTTTTTTGAACTCTAAAAGGTTTTACACCAGGGGCTGGTGATATGGATTATAGAAAAGGCGCTTTCTTGTGTGTCAGGATCAGAGTTGAGACTCCAGCAGCCATGTCAGTGCAGAGTGAGTGTGGCTGCCCAGCTGTAATTCCCGTGTTGGGAGTCAGCCAGATGCAAGATAAGGTGGGGAGGAATTAAGATAAGACACATGAGCCTCTGACTTTCACACAGGCCTGCCTTCACAGCTGTGTCTGTGTCGTCCTCTCCTTCAGTTCTTGTTGTCAGGAAGTAAGTAGTCACACCTGGTGAACTTCTAAAATGCCAGGGTTTGGGTTGTTAATGGCTCATTAAGTGAAAGGGTTTAAATCAGTGGTTCTTGACCTTTGGGTCATGACCCTTCCACAGGGGTCACCTAAGCCTATCTGAAAATATAGATATTTACATTGTGATTCATAACAGTAGCAAAATTACAGTTATGAAATAGCAGCAAAAATAAATTTATGGTTGGAGGTCACCACAACATGGGGATCTGTATTAAAGGGTGGCAGCATTAGGAATGTTGAGAACCACTGGTTAAAGGAACACTGGAAAGTAACAGGTCTGAGCTCTTCTCATAATAACCCTGAAAGCAGCTGTGTGATGGGGTGTCGCGTCACTGTGTAGCCCACGTGAGAAGTGATACCATCCAAATCAGACTTATTAACCTGGGTGTGTTCTGCACAACATCTCACTATGTGGTCTTCAGAGCCTAAAGCAAGAACTGGCTCAAGAAGAAGGAATAAGCCAGGCTTTGAAAGAGGAGGCTCAGCGGAGGGAGACCGCCCTGCAGCAGATGCGCACAGCTGTGAAGGAGGTAAGCATTGTCTAGTTCCATAGAGCCTCCACCAATCTGGTTTCTCCATTTGCCCACCCATCCTTAACCCTACAGGAGTGTGGAAGGGGCTCTGAACTTCTTAGCAAAAGAATGGGTAGTAACATTATCCTGTGCGTTCAAGGCCCTAGGCCTGTTTTAGAGTGGCCAAAGAGACCCAGGAATGCTTTTTAGATGTGGGATCCCCTCCTTTTCTCCCTCCCAACTCAGTCTTCCTGAACTCACAGGTTTGGGATTGGAGGTGGGAGAGGTTGAGAAGACTGAGGGAGCAGGGTGTGGCTTTACGTATGTGTAATCCCAGCACCTGGGAGATTGAGGCTGAGTTGAAGGCATGTCTCATACACAAACAACCCTAAAATGAATGAAGACATGGTGGTACTTACGTAGTAAATAGAGTTGTTAGTAGGGCCCACTGAGTTCACTGGCCAAGTGCCTAGGAAGACATCTTCCAGAATTAGGATTGTTAAATGGCCCAGTGTGGGTGAAGGGCAGAGACTAGAGGTGTAGGGGATGAAGAGGGGAGACCCACAGGAAGAGGGAAGGCAAAGACAGCCTTACATAAATAGCTACTCTGCATAGGAAAGCCTAGCTGTAGTACAGTGAGAGCTTGAAATGCAGGATGCTAGAACTCTACCTCCCTGGAGGGAGGGAAGTGATGACTACAAGTTCAAAGCCAGTCTGGTTTACATAGTGAGTTCCATATAAGGCAGAGCTACCCTGTATCACACAAACAAGCAAAGATGGGTTAGGGAATGGAGCTCAATTGGTAGGGCACTTGCCTTGCGTACATGACGCCCTGAGCTCTAGTTGTAATGGTATATACTTGTGACCCCTGCACTTGGAAGGTGGGGACAGGAGGATCAGAAGATCAAGATCATCCTCAGCTATGTAGGAAGTTATGAGGCCATGCTGGGTTATGTGGCTGTGTGATAATACCCTGTCTCAAAAATGGGGGGAGGGGATATGCAAGATGCCTTTCTCGAAGCTCTGGATCTTCAGGTCTCTTACCTTTCCCAGCCCCACACCCAGTAGCTGTTAGCAAGCAGTCTTACTGTCTCCCTTGCCCCTCTTCTGGCAGCCTTTATCGGGCTGGCTGGTGGCCGCTTTTGTCAGGGTGACAGGGTGAGATTGAAAGCAGTGTCTACTCAGATTTCACTGTTCACGTTAAGCCAGCTCTAATAGCCTGGCTAACAGAGTTGGCTGAAGGACTGACTTCAGATAGAGTTCCTAGGGGGTGAGAGCATCTCTGGTTCCTGGACCGAAACCTGGAGGCTAATGACTCAGATCCTGCTGAGGAATAGTTTCCTTTCCAGTGCTGGGTCCCTAGGGCCTGGGCTCAGCCTACACACAGGAGGAGCTAGTATTTGTAGAGGGAAAAGAGGGATTTCAGGGAGGGGAAGGTGGCACCAAGCCTGTGTGGGTAACAATGGGGAGGAACATTGTGACTAAATTTCTCCTTCACACCCATGCACATTTAGATACACAGATCCTTGCCTTCCTTTTGGTCTTAATCAGTTTGTTTGTCCACCTGTTTGCTTAGCTCTCAGTGCAAAATCAGGACCTGATTGAGAAGAATCTGACGCTGCAAGAGCACTTGCGCCAGGCCCAACCAGGGTCCACATCTTCACCAGACACAGCCCAACTGGCATATGAGCTGCACCAGGAATTGGCCATTTGCCTTCAAGATCTGCAAGCTGTCTGCAGCATTGTGACCCAGAGGGCCCAGGGCCACAACCCTAACCTCTCTCTGCTCCTAGGCATTCATTGTGAGTCATCAAAAGTGCCTTCATTCTCTCATCCATCCAACTTTGCTGTCCTTATGGTAATTGTGAACCAGGTGCAGTAGCCTGGTCATTGCCTTGTGGGTGTTGTCAAAGTAAGTGTTCATTAAGTGTTTCACAAACAGGCCTCCTTAGAGGATGTTTGCACAGAAGGCAAACAGAAAGTAGGCTTCAGGCAACAGATTCTCAGCTCACTATTCCCAGCTTAGGTTGTTTTTTGTTTTGTTTTTTCCCCCCAAGATAGTGTTTCTCTTTGTGGTCCTGGCTGTCTTGGAACTCTGACTGTAGACCAACTGGCCTTAAACTCACAGAGCTCCACCTGCCTCTGCCTGCCTCCCAAGTGCTGGGATTAAAGGCATGTGCCGCCACCACCTGGCTACCAGCTTGTTCTTTAAAGGTGTCCTGTCTGAAAAGTGGGGACAGGGAAGATGCCATTTAGCTTTAGATCTTCAGGTCTCCTACGTTTCCCAGCCCCACACCCAGTGGTTGCTAGCAGACTTAGTGTCTCCCTTGCCCTCTTTATTCCTCTGACAGCCTGTGTGTTCTAAGTTTGGAGCTGTAGCTTGTAGTTAAGTCCTTAGAATAAGCAAAGCCCTGGCTCAGTCCTCAGTAATGGAGGGGGGAAAGCTGTGTCCTAAGATCATGGTTCTTTAAGAACTGCTTATTATTTGGGCTGGAGAGATGGCTCAGGGGTTAAGGGTACTGACTATTCTTACAGGAGACCCGGGTTCAATTCCCAGCACCCACGTGGCAGCTCACAACTGTCTATAACTCCAACATCTGACACCCTCATACAGACGTACATTCAGGCAAAACACCAGTGCACATTAAAAATAAAAACCTTGCTATTCGTCTTGCCCATTCCTCATAAAGTTGCAATCGTGATTTACCAACATTCTTCAAATCTTCTCTTCAGCCACCCAGCACCCAGGGACTCAGCTAGATTTGCAGAAGCCAGATGTGGTCAGAAGAAAACTAGAAGAGGTTCAACAGCTGCGTCACGATATTGAAGACTTAAGGACCAGCCTATCAGACAGATATGCCCAGGACATGGGAGAAAACTGTGCCACACAGTGAGGAGGGCCAGAGAGGACCTGGCTGTTACTAGCCTCACCAGAGGTTCCTCCCCTGACAATCCTGCCTTCTGCTGCAGCACCCAGAGGGGAGACCCTGTATCTGGGGCCAGGGTTGATGTGAGAAGCCTGCCTGTTGTGCTATACACTGGCTTTGCCTTATTACTGGGTTATGTTTTACCTGTTTTCTTACTCTCAAAGGCTGAGTTACTAATTAACCTTTTTGTAGATGGAACTGATAAGGTCCTCACAAACTGTTCCCAGCCCTAACCTGACATCAGAAGCAAAGAGGCTGCTCAACTCCCCACTTCATCCTCCATGAAGGCCCATGTTCATTCCTACTCTATACCTTGGTCCTACTGATGCTCTATTACCAAAGGCCTAAAGGTTAAGTAGGAGTAACACCTTTTAAAAAACTCAGGCCCCGTGTACCAGCCTTCCTGGGAACTCAGCTGGCTTTCTGGGTTTTCTCAGGTAACCTGCTTCCTCAGGGCTGTTCCCACAGAGGCCTCAGGGTTATCTCCCCCTTAGCAAAGTCCCCACTAGGATTGCTGGCTTGGGGCCTACAGCAGGGCTCCTCAGCCTGCCTGCTGTTGTGTTACAGGAAACTCTTGGCCACCGCATGTCCCATGGAGCCCTGACATGTGGTCAGCATAGCCTTTCTCCTTGGCTTGGGCCTTCCAGGTAGCCCCATTTGGGGTGCCTGAGTGCAGACTTCTCTGTGATTGCCCTGTGGTTCCTTGGTTGGACAGTTTCCCCCAGAAGACCACAGGGCAACTGTCAAGCTGCTCACCCCTTCCCAAGGCTGGGGCTGTAACCAGCCCTCTGATTCGTGCCTCTTGTTTGGGATTGGGGGGCTTTCCTTTCCCCTCTCTGACCTTGAAAGTTAGAGCTCCTAGTGAGGGTCAGCTCTAAGATAAGTGTTCAGTGTTTCCTGGTGGTTTGTGTTTCGCTAGGGCCTTTGGACCCTTGGCTTTATGGGTTTTCTTGCCTCCTGATTTAGGGATGGTCTTAGTTTTATCTGGTTGTTGGGCCAGTCCTCAACCTCCTTTGGTTTGGAGCTAGGGGCCCTGTATGTATGAGGAGCATAGTTTGGGAGATGCAGAGGCAGCCAAGATGGGACTTTGGCTAAGCCTCTGAGCTGTTAAAAGTATCCTGGACCTCCTGGGGGGCCTGAGTGGCCTTCTTTTCAAGTGTTTTCATTCATACGTTTGTATTTTATTTATGGGTGGTTTACCTTTCAGAGCAGCCACACCTGGCTGCCTATCCCCTCAGCCTCTGGGATCCTGCCTCCTAAAACCAGAGAGCTGCCTGTTTGGAGTCCACCCTATGTCACTGGGAGCCCAGCCTCCATGCTCACGGGTATTTTTTTCTTCATAAAGTTTATAAAGTTATTTATATGAATCTTTGTTATGTCGACTGGTTTGTATTGCCTATTTTGATTACAGAATAAAACATTTTAACAGATGCTTCGGTTTCCTGTTGCCTCCCAGAATCCCTTGCCCAGCCCTCACTTTGGCTTGTGGAGCCAAAGACTAGGTCAGAGCAACTTTAGGCAGATCCAGCTTGGTTTCTAAATCTCTTCCCACTTCTGCTTTGTGTGGGGACAAAAGAGGTCTCTGCCCCCCACTCTATTGCAGAGAGCTCCCCCCACCAGCCAGTCAGCACTACAAAGTTGCGACAGACCTCAAGAGAAGTCAACAGCTTCTGGGTTTCTATGGCTTCTGAGGAAGTGACTTCCCCATAACCAGATAGGCAGTTTGCCTCAGAAGGCAGGATTGGCTTCCTGGGCCCTTAACAATACCTGTGTAGCCCTGGCTCTACTGGGGGGGGGGGGGGGGCGGAATAGTGAACCTAACCACTTACTTGCTCCAAAAAATTGGGATGGGTGCTAGACTCTTTCCAAATGATCAGCTGAATTCCTAATATTGAAAGCTGTGACGTGTTATTTGCAGCATGACGGTAGAGTTGAACTGGGACCACCCCAAAACTAGCTATGGATCTCCCAAGGGCCATTTGGAGAGCGGCTTAGATGCCTTTGCCTCCTGCACACTAGTTAAGTGAGCTGTCCTGCCCTGCCGCTTCTTACCTCCGCCTCCATCTGGTTCCTTGATGGGTGTGGCCCCAGTTAACAGCCACCACCCTTTCTAGTCAGAGCCTGTTTGAGCCCAGAGGTGCTTTAGGGAACGTGTCTTGCCAGCACTGCTCTTCCCGCGCCTCCACCATCCCACTCCCACCCTTGCTGCAGTTTCCTAAGCTTGAAAACAGCCTCGCCTCCTGGAGACGAGGGTGGCACTGCGCTGGGTACTGGATGAGCAAAACCCAGGTAAAATGGGAGAAGCTTTCAGCTGAACAGTTCTGCCTGCCTTCTCGGCCTTTTCTGCCATTTGGTCCCTCCCTTGCCACACGCCGTGAGCCCCAGGTCAGAAAGGGCTGAATGCAGCCAAGCAGCTACTGAGGACTGGGGTCCTCCGGGCTCCACGCCACGGAGCAGAGCAGGGCAGGGAGGGGAGCCAACCGCGCAGGGCGGTGTCGTGCAGGCCCCGCCTTGCCCGCCTGCGCAGCTCATTGGCCCCGAGCGCACTGACTCGCGGGCGGAGCAGGAAGGAAACCGCTCCCAAGCGCGGCGGCAGCGTCGTTCCTAGCGTGCAGCTGCCGCTCCTACCATCTCTCGGTTGGTTTGCGTGTCCCCTTCCTGCAGCATGAGTGGTCTGCGCGTCTACAGCACGTCGGTCACCGGCTCTCGTGAAGTAAGTGTGTGCCTGGGCCGGCGCCGGGGCAAGGCGGGCCGTTTCCCTGTGCTCCGACCGGCGCCCGGGAGCCGCCCCCACGATGGAGGCAGCGAGGTGCGGGGTATGGCCTCCCAAGTCTAGTCCGGGGGACGCGGCCCAGCCCGAACCCCCCCCCCCCCAGGGATCCTTCGGCATCCCCGGCATGAGCTGCCCACTCATATCCCCCGTTATGGGCTCACCCGTTCTATTGCCCACACACACACCCCTCCTTAATGCCCGCTTCCTCTCCACTGTGAGGCTGTGGAGGAGGGTATTTCCCCGTAGGGCCCGGCCCTGCAGCTTCTCTGACTTACCTAGAACTTGACCAGCTTCTTTTTCTCAGACTCCTGCAGGCGATCCCTCTCATCCTTGGACCCTTCCCATCCCCTAGTAGCCAAAATCTCCCCCATAGAGTGGGCAGGAAGACAAAAGCTCCTGCTAACACCGGACCAGAGTTCCTACCATAAATCTTCCAGCCTGCCTGCCAACCCTGTCAATCTGCCCCTAGATCAAGTCCCAGCAGAGTGAAGTGACCCGCATCCTAGATGGGAAGCGAATCCAATACGAGCTAGTGGACATCTCCCAGGACAACGCCCTGCGAGATGAGATGCGATCCTTGGCAGGCAACCCCAAGGCCACCCCACCCCAGATTGTCAACGGGGACCAGTACTGTGGGGTATGGGGTTTGGGGTCTGGGAGGTGTTGGAGGACTGCAGCCTGGGTCAGACCTGGACAAAGCAGCAGGGTCCCATGTGCCTGCACTCAGGTGACGACTACCCCCTCTCTCAGGACTATGAACTCTTCGTGGAGGCCGTGGAACAGAACACACTGCAAGAGTTCCTGAAGCTGGCCTGAGTAGGCCACAGTCTACCCAACTCCTCACCAGGCCATGAAGGACCTTGTGACCAACTCTGCGTCTTCCCTAATCTGACCTTGGAGTTCCTCCCTGCAAACCCAAGCCCTTTCTGTACCCTCCTTCCTTCAGAGGCAACATTCCTTACTCACCAACTGGTGTGTCAGAGACTGTCTTAAGCAAAGCCCTGATGCTGGCTGTCCCTTGCCAGGCCTTGGGGCTACCTCCCTGCCTGGCGCTGTCTGATGGGTATTTGTTAGTTCCATCAGCCAGAGCTCTGCCAAAGGCCCCGCAGTCCCCGTCCTGGGAGCATCCTAGAGACAATTAAATGCCCATTCCACTGGTGCAGTCTCCTGGTTATGGTGTCCTAGGGACCCGCTGGGCTTGGTGGTGGTTCTGGTTGTGTTAGAGCTGTGCTACAATGTGGGCTGTGTGTGTGTGTGCGTGTGCGTGTGCTGGAGGTCAGAGGTCAACTTTGTGGGTTTCAGGGATCAAACTCACATCATAAGCCTTTTGTGTCAAGTGCCTTTACTCCATGAGTTTTACCTTCAGCTCTGGAGTGTTCGTGTGTGTGCGTGTGTGTGTGTGTGGGTGTGTGTGCGTGGTGTGTGTGTGTGTGTGTGTGTGTGTGTCAGCACATGACCATGGTTGGCATGCAGTTTCTTGACATGGTAGTTGAGACACCCTCAATTTCCCAAGCAGGTTCTGATGTTCATCTGCCTGACAGTGAGGGTGCTGCCCCAGGACTGTTTGGTGGGGTGAAGACCGATTCAGTGTGGGTGTCGTGGGAGGTGTACAGCTAGCTGCAGCTGTATCAGATTGAACATGGGGGTAGTTGTGGTGGGGTTTTATACACGGTATGCAGAAAGTGTCTGCCTGAGCATGGGGATCTACATGTGTGTGTCTGTCGCCAGAGGCCTGACTCCCAGTGAGGCTCCCCTGCCCCTGCTGAGGCAGAGAATATCAACCCAGGCACTACCTCGAGAGGATCTACTTAGCACAACTTGAGAGAAAAGGGAACCCAGGGGACAAAGAGCCCTTAGCTACGCCAGCTGGGGCTCCAGTTACAGGCCTAAGTGTCTGTACCGCCTTCCCCTCTGGACAGCCCTGTCTAGAGAGCCTTGTGGAGCTCATGATATCGGGGGCAGCACTTTATTCAGGGAAGTGAGCCTGGGCCAGGGTGAGGGCCAGAACCAGTACCAAAGCTGGGGTTCGACAGCAGGGCTCTCGGAGCCCGCAACAGAAGTGTTGCATTGGGAACCAGGCCTGCAGCCTGCAATGTGAGTGTGTCATCCTGGTAGACCATGGGTGGGAAGGTGCTGAAGATCTCAAAGGTGGCCGGATCCATGTCCCTGGGTGTCCATCAGAGTCCATCAAGCTGGGCCGTGAGGCTAAGGACTTCCTTCCTGCAGCCCCCTCGCCGTGCCCTGTACCCACCTGGCCTGTGCTAGGAGGCTTCGCAGGTCACCGACAGTGTCCTCAGGCCGCATCATCAGCAGGAAGGCCTGCTCCCCGTTCTCTGACCGGATGCGCAGCATGGAGAGCGCAGGCACTGGCGAGTCCGGTGACTCCTGGCTCCTGCAGGTCCACAGGCCCTCAGTGCTCCCAGGCCCTTTCCCCTCTACCCTGCTCTCACCTCTGCCCAGCCCTCACCTCTGCCGCTCAGAAGCCAAGGCAGGTGTCTCCACTATGATCTCCTGGATCCGGGCAGGCAGTGGGCAGTAGTTCTGGAAGGCAGCCATGAAAAGTGGTCGGAGACCTAGGTCCCACCTACATCATTTCCTCCACCCTTAGAGAGGACTGGCTCATTCCTGAGCAGGAGTGGATGAGACCACCGAGCCAAAGAGCTGGGGGGTTCTGTGTAAAGGGAAGGAGGCTCTGGAAGGCAACACCACCATTCTCCCAATCCAGTGTGGGAGACGAGGCCACCCAAATGGTGGCCACGCCTGGGGACCTAACCTAGCCTGGGTTCAGGGAAGACACCTGAGCTGAGTCTGAAGGATGAGTAACAGGCATGTGAGATGGAACGGGACAGGGACACTCCCTACAGCCCAAATGTCCTGACCAACAGGAACCTGAAGGAGTCACGAGCCTGCCAGCAGTTTACAGCTCTTGAAGCAAGGAACCCAGTCAGACAGGAAAGGCTAGATATGAGGGGGACACTGATACAAAATGCACTCTCGATGCCAGGATAAGGGTCGTGGCTTCCTCCAAGAATGCCCAGACAGTTCCAACAGAGAAGGCTACTGGGGCACATGGCTAGCAGGAGCAGGGATGAGGTGGGAAGGCCAGCACAGAAGGTTGTGACACACTCTGCAGCCTAGACTCAGGTGGTGGGCTGCAGAGAGGAGCTCCAGTGGTGGCTAGACGGAACAAGACAACTCAGGTGAAGGGGAGGAGTCTGGTGAACCTTTTCTCCGGTGGTGACTTGGGAAGGAAGAACGGGAGTGAAGACAAGATAGTGGACTCATGGCATGCGAGAGGCCTGTGGGACAACTAAGGAGCACCAAGGCCAAGCTCAAGGGTATCCCCACGCCCTCCACTGTAGCCACGCCAGCTGCCTATAGGGTAGAGCATGGAGTCCTCACCAACTCCACAGAGATCCGACACTGTTCTGAGGGTGAACTTGCCATTCTGGCCTTTACTTGGGGCCTATAGGTCTGAGCCTCTGGACAAGACACTGTAGGCTGAGCCAGGGTTGGTGATAAAAATCCCCCTGGAGAAAGCTGGGTAATTAGGGCAGGCCTCACCTGCAAGGTGTCCCTGATGGGGCCCCGGATGTCAATCACCTGGCCTTGTCGAATTACACACTTGGGAAGCCTGTTCAGAAATTTCTCAGCAGTC